ACAATTTTTTCTTTTAATGTAACAAGAGTATTTGATCGTCAAACTTTACAAAATATATATATAGCATAACATAAATATTAAAATAAAAAATTTTACGTTTCAATGGAACTATTTTAAATTAAAAGTTACAATTTACTTTGTTATATCTTGACTTCGTCCATCACTTTATAAGATGGATCGATATACACGAGTACGCAATCCGTCCAATTTTTTGCCAATCCATAAATCGACGTGACCTGATGATGTTACTATGTGGGAATAAAAATAAATGCTGTAAATCGTGAAAACGTAAATTCGGATGGGAGGCGAGCATGGGAAGAACTAACAATTGGAAAGCGAAACGAAAACTGTTCATGGAAATTCTCTACAGAATCATATGATAAATGTTTTTCCGAAAAATATTATAATTCTTAAAAAATCATGTATATTATATTATCTTTAAAATATAACATAATCATAAATTTGCATTTATTTAGTTACATCTTAAAGATATAATTTATATGCGCCTCTCTCTTCCTGAAACGGGACATTCGTTGTATTCGCAGGTAAATGAATTTCTCAAACAATTCTTGCGTGGCATCGGTTCCATTCTGCAAACAGGTTTACTCTTATTTTTTAATCGCTACTTTGAGATTTCTTCGAGCCTGATCGTATCATTCTTCTCTTTCCGGATTCGCGTTCGAATCGCGGACAAGTGAAATGCCGTCATCAGAAGGACACAGAAAATGTGGGTCGCGTCTTATGGCTCTCCACGTTCGCAAAATTATGCTAATTAAAACGAAGCGAATCGGAAATTTTCGATACGTATTATGTTCTTAACATATTTTATATAAATCTGTTCTGTAAAATATTACGCAATTGTTAATGATAAAATAAAAAAATGATGTGGCTTCCAAATATTAGTGTTGTTTATTTTCTGTCTAAATGTATAGGTATACTTCATTCTAATACAAACTTGCTCTCAGTTTTTCATACTTTTAAGATTTCGGAATTGAAACAAAACATGTTTATGTCTATATGAATTAAAGTGGGACGGAGATGATTGAACAACTCATCTTCATAATCTAATCTCGTATTCCAGTACCCTGAATATCTAAATATTCTAACGATCGATGGCTGGAAAATAAGGAAGTTGTGAATCAGCATGGTGAGATTATAGATGGCTTTCTTATAACACTCGATTTCTAAAAGATTACGATGACAGGCATCTTTAAGAAAAAAAATTAGGTAAGGTGTGATATTGGGTGGCGTTATGAATGAAAGTGGAACGCGGGTCATTTCACGAGTATTCCTTTGATTGCGCTTCGATTCTTAACTTCTATGGATTAGAAAGGAGTGCACGTAAGGGTTATGACTACGAGACTCTCGGAAGATTCTGC